GGGTGCAGCTCGGGCAAGCTGAGGGAAAACCTGGAGATAAGAGCCTCATCACCTGACAGCCTGCTCAGACTCCAGCATCCAACCATCCGAGCGGGAGCAGAAAGGGTACTCTAGCAGGTATTAGTCTTTGTTTAAAATATATTATGTCTATTTGTAGTTGCAGTGCACTAGAGCGATCTCTCCCCTGTCAATTGTTGTGTTGCAGTGAGGAGCACTCCCTCCTCTCCTTAAACAATGCAGGCAAAGGTCAGATGGTGCTCAATGGGGAAAGATGCTTGCAGAAAAGATATTTCATTCACAAACATGCCTTTCTGTACCAAGATGTTAATATATGGAGCTGCTCCTGGTTTTCTCATTGCCCCTATTTCAGTAAAAATGAAAGAAAGGCATGTTGGAACCAGGTCAAAGCAAAGAAAGACTGGAACTCAGCACTGATCTTCATGTGAAAGGTACACAGTCCTTATCAGCAGAGTTTTGCATTCTGTCTGTGAAAAACCTCTGGTTTTAGGACACAGCTGAAGCCCTCTTCATGCATGCTTTGTCTTGCATAATTTTTCTTGGGCTTTCTGATCTACCCTCATTTCAGAAGACTGTACTCCTGACAGTTACTATATGTTTTGAAAAGACAATTTGCCAACACTTGAATGTTGACGCATAGCCTGTGATGTTTCAGTGTGTTTCCTAATCCTTTGTACAACAGGACCTTCATAGAAGACCAGGAATTACTCAATTGCTCTGAGTTTTGCTGGAGACCAATGAGCAGAGCCACTGTACTGCTCAGGTCACACACTCCTGTGTCACAAAGGCATGTTGATATTCCTCCATGTCAAACCAGGCAAAGATACAAGAGGTCTTAATACTGTCCATGCCCATGAAAAAGACATTTTTTAGATTAGCTCAGTATCTGTGCTGTGTCCTGGTCTGAACTCTAATTGCAAATCATCTGAGGCATGGGCTGATGTTGTAATTAGTATGTTCTCCGTTATTTTCCCTGCAAAAACCATATACAGACCTCTTTGCCTCTAGTGGAATGCACTTTTCAGAGATGTCATGTATTTCTTCCAGTAGTCACAGACTAAACCTAGGGAGTTGGGTTGAGGGAGGAAGCTAGACAAGAGGTTGTCACAGATTTTCTTAGTATTCTTCATCCTTTCCTGAGTTTTGACATGATTAATGTCACTAAGCTTCACACAGGTAGTACAGACTGGTCAACAGCATAACTTAATGAAAAGTGGTTACTGTGGTACGCACAGTAGTAATGTATCCATTCAAGTGTACAAAGGAAATGTCCCCGACTAAGAAGATGGTTGCCTTCTCTGAAGTGAGTTTCTCTTTTGATGACTAGACCAGCTGGAAAAAAAGTGGAAGAAGCTTCAAAACCAAATTGTGAGGCAACAGCATCTGATTTGCAGACAGTTTTATCTGCTACGTGCTTTTCCAGAGCTTTGATGGCTTGGCATGATCATCTTAAAATCTCTGATCTCTCTAAAAGAAACTATTTTCCACAGAGAAAAATGTCTCTGGCCTACGGCATTCTTGGCAGATGCCTCTATGGATGTGATGTGGAATCACCCTAACATCCAACCCGGTTGCCAGATGTCATATTTGGCATTGCCTTTGGATTGAAGATAATGATGCTAAGCAGATCCTCTCTGCTTTGAAGCTTACTGGCTGTCAGTTTTTCAGTGAACCACTGGAAAAAGCAGCAGTTGACAACGTAAGGAAGATCAGATGGTCCTTTCAATTCTAAACAAAAAGTCACTTCCAAAGGTTCAGATTTTTCTTCTGCCACCAGCCTCAGCAAAAGTACAACAGGGCTAATTCCAGTTTAGGAGGAAACAAACTCTGGGACAATGAGATTAAAATCCTCTTTGCAGTGGTGGCTCCATTTTTCTTTCCCCTCTTATAACACTGCGTGTGAATTCAAGCTATGGTCTCTGACCAGGCCTGAGTTTGACCACATTATTTTTTCCTTCCTAAATAGTACAATTGTAAGTGCTTTTGCAGAGAATTAGTTGTACCAAAACATTTTTCATCAAATGCCCAATAGCTAAACATCCATTAAAATACATCTATGCTCAAAAGAGAACCCACATATTCCAACTTAAGGAACAAAATCTTAAGTACAAGTAGAACCAGAAGTAAGAACTGCTGGTGTCACAGCTCTACTTTCCTCTTGATGGGGAAATGGTGAAGGTATGCATGCATGATGATATTGAAAAATACCAGTAGTTTCTTGCAGTTTTTTGTTGGGATTTCTTTCCCCCTAACGTATTTAACAGTATTCCTGTGGAATCCTGACTTAATATATTTACTAGGAGTTATCTGCCCGTATCAACCAACGGATGGTAAATCGCTTGTCTGCATCTATGCTCACTGGGCTTTTCTGGCAGATTTTATGGCCTGTTCTCTGAACAGGCTATTCTTTCCACATCCATTTGCAGTATATCTGATGGCACCCTCTGACCAACCAAGGGTGGATCTATTTTTTTGGTCAGTCTCACAGCACCTGTTAGTCTGGAAGCAGAGAAGAGAAGCTGAGCTGACTCCTGTACACCTAGAATAGCTTTGTTCCCTCAGACTTACTGGGGGTCTGCAGGATTTACTTCACTATACTATAATTTACTATTATAGTATAGTGAACTATACTATATTTACTTCACTGCTATAATCCTTATACTTAGCCTCAAAAGATGTAGCTGTTTTGTTTCTTTTCTTTTCCACAGAGATACAGCATCTTTAGTAAGGACAAAGTCATTCCTTGTTTTTGGTCTAAAGCTACTTCTTTTCACTCCCAGTCCACAACAGCAACAAAAAGAAGCCAGCACATTAGATAAACCTGAGCTCAGAAAAAGCATTTAACCTGCACTAGGCTGTAAGAAGAGCTTCAGTCTTGCTCATTTTCAACCTAAACACAGAACAATAAAATAAAATGCTACAGTCAGCTAAGTGAGGTCAATCAGTCCTGTGAAGGACAAAACCCTGGGCAGAAGTTATTTGCTCCTCTGTGGGAGACACATTCAATATCTGATACTGTCTTCTGTTTGATGTAACAAGCTCAGCCTTTAACATCTGCAGGTATTCCTTCCAGATCTAGGATATCTAACGTCACGTCCCTAAGTGAATAAATGCTTGTTTCTGGTACTCAAGAATCTTGAGCCTATCTTTTCCAGCTTTTTTTATTTTAAATTTCCATTACTGCTTCCTCTTTCCTATCCTTAATGAAGCCAGAAAAAAGGAGTGTTTCCATCTAACTTTGTAACAGTATGTCATCCAGTCAGTCCTCATCAATTATTTTTAACTAATCAAAATTATGTGTGCAAATAGATGGAATCTATATGAGAGCTAAGGATTAGACTGTGTCTTGAGCTTGTTTACATTTAGTTACTTTATAGCTTTACAAGATCATTTCTTACAGGTTGCCACCTCAGAGAAGTCAATGTCTTCAGTGCTTCTTTCAAAGTATTTGAGCTGACTGTCTGTATAGAGAGATAACACAGTTGACCGGGGAGGAGCACAGAAGACATTTTTTAAAAAAGCAGTGCATTTCATTTCCTCATTCACTGTGGTAACTGTAAGGTAAAGACATTCAGAATGGCTTCATACTCAAAAAGGACAACCTTCCATTTTTATGGAAATAGATCATGTTTATTTTCATTTCTGTCTCTGAAGTACATTTGTTTCTTTCTGACTTCAGCAATGACTTACCTGAGCAGTTGCACTAAATAACTTTGATAGCGCAAAACATGAAGGTAAAACTGTGCCAGTGTCAAAGGAGTTGGTATCTCTGCCCTGTTCTAAAAGTGTCTCTGGTGAATACATTTTTGCAACTGATGCTTTGATAATATTCCTCATCAGGTATGGTCATGGTAAGTGGGATAAACATGTAAATATTATAAATATAGTGATTATTAAACTTCACTGTTTCTAATTTTCTGGGGTTCCTAAACATCTTGTAATTCCTGTTTTTAAACTACAATTACAAATCTTTTCCAGACATCCCACAGCTTTTCTTTTCTTTTTTTCTTTTTTTAAAGTGACACCCACCTTCATAACTCTGTGCAAGATTATGTCGAATGATGTTCACTGGCTGATCAGGAAGATTTTTGGATGGTGACTGGCTGTTGGGTACCAAGGAGTTGGCATAATGCCACTGGCATTCTCCATTTGTCTGCAGTGTACTCAAGAAAAATCGAGCCACTTCACAAGGTGCTCCTTGAGATTGCCCAAACTTTGAAGGCAGCATTTGCTTTTTGCTACTGAAGACATGAGACTCTACAGGGAAGTGTCCATAATGGTAAGAGAAAGGCAAGCTATATGATGGGGTATATAAAAGTTCACTGTTTTCTGAATGGAAGTTTTGTTCTTGAATGGTGGCAGCATTCACTGCAGGGCTGGATCGCCAGCTTCCCACCTGGCTGCATTCCAGTTTGTCTGTTTGGAATGAGCTGTATTGCTGGGGGAAAGAAAAAAAAAAAGGGAGGGGACAAGAGTTAAATGACTAACTTTTATAAGAAACCACAGAACATATCATATGGGCATCCAAAGCTGGGCCTCCTTGAAGTGCAATCTCACTGGCTAAAGGGATTGGCTTACCAGTGCATTTAAAGTTCCCTGCCTTTACCCTCACTTAACGCGGGAACAAAAATTATTTTGTCATCCTAATGTCAAGGGTTTATTTGATAATTTTACCAGTTGATTTTAGCTAGTAAGTGTAGGCAGTTGTAAATACCAGAGGGCAGAAGTTTGTTGCAAGGTTTCTGCAGCACCAGGAATCACTGATAAATGGAGTAGCAGACCATGAATATGATTTTGTGTATGTTGGCATATCAACCTTTAGAATGCTAGGAACACAAAATCTGTCCTTTGCACCAGTTCCTCTGGCAACGATTTTCTCTTCCCACTCTCTCCCACCCTCCTCTCCAGACTCCAAATGCTTTTTGGGCTCTCACTGTTTTGAATGCAGTGTGTTTGCTAGCTGCATTCACTGCTGCTGTGTTGCATCACTCACCAGAGTTGTTTTGTACTCCTCGTGCTGTCCACCCCAAGAACAAAAGGATCTAATTGTATTGTGGCGTACAAGGGAGTTCCTGCGGCAGAGCTTACTATAGTATGGTCAGTTTTACAGGAAGTTCAGTTCTGAATGATCTCTGCCCTGCCCCAAGCGCTCTGCCACAGTAATTGGTAAGTAAATATTGCTGAAAATGTTACCTGTTGTGGGTAAGGCGTTGTTCTGAGTTTTGCCTTCATTTTATTACTTTTGGGTTTTACTATTTTCCTTGTTTCCTGCGAGGTAGATACTGAGTTTCTGCATGAAAACTGTGACTTAGAAACGGTAACCTGGTCCAGTGACAACTGAAGTTCCTTATACTCAATATCTCTGCAAAAGAACAGTCCAATAAATTACATACTCAAACATACCGCACAAATCCAAAATAGCTCCTTTGAAAATAAATGTTAGCTTTCACAATGTTTTCATTTTCATTCTTCCAAGATTTTCACTGAGCCTGCAGTGTGAGGCTGGGGATGTCAGCAGGCAGTGAATTTATGGTTTGACCCCGTCCCCGTGCAAGTCTATCACAAACGTTCCACTGGGAACCACATTAACTTCTCTGTGCTAAATGCGCTCTCACTCTGAACCTAAGCTGTGCCAACTTCTCAGCCTTTCGTGGCACCCTGCAGTTTGGAATCACAGCCATGTCAGCTGATAGAAAGACACAGATCAATTCATCTGTCTCCTCCTCAATCAGGAATTGGTCTCACAATTATCCCTGAGGAAAGGAGAAGGAGCAATGTTCCTCTCCTGTCAGCACACTGTGCTTGTAACTAGACCACAGGAGCTGCAATGTTGTTTTTCTGACAGTCTCTAAATTTTCATTTCTGCTCTGTTCTGTTCAGTTGGATCTGCCCCACAGACAGCACAGATTTTTGTACAAAAGAGGCTAAAAACCAAATCAAGAACGGGCTGTGGATCATATTTTGAAACATTGATTGATGCAGATCTGATGCTTAAACGGTCTCTCCTAGTTTTCTCGGTAGCAACAGTGGGGCATATTTTTGAAAGGACAACTAGGAAATAAAACCCTACTTCTCTCTATCTAGAACTCTTTTCTATCACTTTTCGATGGTGAATAACCTGGAATTAAATTCAACTCAAGAATATGCTGTCATATCCCTACAGTTTCTTCCTTTTTCCTCAGATTACTTGCCCCAACTCCTAGGACTCAAGCAGGTTGCAGAGCTGAGTCTTTCCCTGGCGCTGCTGGCTCTCACATTTGTACAGGAATGATGGCAGCATTAGCCGGTGTGTCTAGGGCTGAACATCTACTTCGAGTAGTTTAAGGAAACACCCTGTGGTTTCGCAACCCATACATTTTAACTCCCCAAACTCAGGTATCAGAGACAACATTGTAATATGCAGATATACATGATCCTACCACACTAATCATGTAAACACGTCTTTCAAGCCAGTTAAGAAAAGGACCAGTCTAGATAAAATAAAAGAGTGTATAGTTCCCTGCTTTTATTCAATACGAGGTGTGACAACTATTCTTTTTTTTTTCGCCCCGCCCCAGATAGTCTCTTCAGTCACAGTCTGTTTCCCTACTACTTATCCCTCTTATTCAATATAAATTTCTCTCTCTCTCTCAGATTTATATCAAGATAGGAATTTTGTAATACCTTCATGACTTGAACTAGAATTCATAAACTGTAGGTTCAAGCCGCTGGACAGTCACCAGTTCAGTGGGAGTTACTTGCCATTGTGAGAATGTAGTTTTTCCCTGAGTATCTATGCAACCCAAAGCAAGTGAGTGAATCCTTGGTGATTCACTTGTCCCTGACTGAAAGGAGTAACACTTCCCACTGTGTGTCTCCCAAATTGACTGGCAGCAGTAGCTTTCACTTTGTCTAGACAGCACCAGTGCGGTTCTGATGTCAATTGCAGAACTGAGATCCAGGTCTAATGCAAATGGCTACAAGTGGTATTGTGTTCAAGCATATGGTGTATGAGGTAATAATCAGGAATACTAGCTCTTTTTAGCCCAATGTAACTAAAAAAGGGAGGATATGAGGAGAGAAAAGTCGCTGTAACATGCAAGTGCAGAATGATACTGGAAGACACAAGTAAAGCAAACTTAAAGAATTTAATTAAAAATGAAACAATTACTGATAACATGCAAAATGAATTAATTACTGATAACACATAATGGTACAAAGTATTTTGACTTACGTAAGGACATAATTGACACTCACTATGCAGTGAGGCCGTGATGAACGGCTGTTATGCACAATAGTAGCGTAGCTCTGTACCCAAACCCAGCCACCATGCTTGGACAGTAGTCGATAGTACTTGGTTGTGACTTGGCCTTTCACCAACACTGTGAATACAATACAAAAAAGTATTTTACATTTCTTGGACTTGTGACCACTTCCTGGAGAGATTTATTTGCAAGGCAGGGACTTTTCTCTCTCCTCTCCCTCCCTTTAAGCCTCCTTCTCTCACCAAACTTTAAATAGCTTCCCTGCAAAGGTATCTGTCCTGCCCCTTTACATAGTTTCACAAGGTCACGTAATCGTTTACAAATAGTATGTTGAAAACTATTAAGGTTTGTCTTCTTTTCCACCTCACCCTACTCTCTTATACTTACATTCTGCAAAAACACTTACTGTTTCTAATCTTCTAGCTGAAAAGTCCAAGGCAGCAAAAGTATTTTGAAGCAGACACAACTAGCTTGATTTTTCCAGTATATTTGGAAGCACTTTTGTAAATTATTTTGTCTTTTGAAATGTATTTTATGCTATGATGCTTTTTCCTCTGTAAGCTCTACATTTTGAAGGTTGATTTAAAAGGGGAAAATTAAAATGCTATTTGGTTCTTAAGCACACAAATAAAGACAAGGCATGAATCAGTTATGTGATAGATTTCACTAGAAGTGTAATCCTCTATACACCAGTTTGGATTCTCTGTGAACGAAGATGTGGAGTTGTGCAGCATCTCTAAATATTTAATCTAGCCACAACTATTTCTGGTTCAGTGCCAGGCATTTATCTGATGATTCACTAGAAGATGATGCCCAGGCTTTGAAGGTGGTTCTTCTCTTGTGTGACCCTGGAGCATTCCTCTAGGAAACTCCATCTTACTCTTCTATATAATCAGTTATTTATTTTAAATTATGAAATAAGAGACTGAGCTTGCTACAAATGTTCAAAAAAAGTGATCAATAGCAGCGATTCCTTTATATAATATATGATTAAGAAATTTAATTACTGCTTGCAAATGTAGGGCTTGTACTAGACTGAACTTAGTAACAAAGCTTACTGTAAATTTGTTCTCTCATTGTACATCCTTAGTGCAGAAGGTGATACATAATAAGGAAATCTAACAACAGTTTCTTCTCTTCAGCCAACTCTAGTAGAGCAAATGACCCCTTGAAATTAAAATGTATGGCCTTATAATTAGTGTTCATAGAAGATTTTTCTGACAGGAAGGGCATCCAATGTTAAATCAGGAACTCAAGTGTGCATAAACTTTGGGGGTTGTTGCCAAACAGTGAACTATATGGCTACCAGTCATCGCTAGGGTTGGCTTTTTTTTGTTCCATTGTTACTTGGAGGACCAGGGGTTTGTAATTTCAATAGTAATCAGAGGCTGCATTAATGTTAATAATGTGAATAGCACAATGTGAGACTGACAGAAATAGAAGAGCAAGAATTCTCATTCTCGCTAAGGTCCTCTAAATCTGTAGCATATAGGTCATCTCTCTGGACTGCCTACTCTCCTATCCATCTGTGCATGCCACAACATGCTTAAACTTTTCTTCAAATTCAGTTAATCTCCCTAAGAAAATCAAGCTCATACAAAATTACTATAGACAGGTCTTTCTGGAAGTGCCACTTCTCCTCCCATTACAGGATATGGTATCCATCTGTTCAGAAAGCAACAAGATAACAACATCTTGCAGGACATTCAAAAGCCCATCCTCTGTGACACTAAGCCACTACTGTTTAGAGTTCGAAGTCTCTCTTAGATATCAGCTTTTTGCCTCATACTTGTTGGTGAAATTTTTCATGCCTATATTTCTACATAGAATACTCTATGGGGTGGAGGTGTGCATATGGACAGATATATAAGAAAATGACGAGGAATGTGTGTGCAAGTATGTAAACACACCTACAAAATATATAAAGATGTGCTCTTTAAGTGTAATATATTGCTCCAAGGTAAAGGTGTTGCAGCTGCTACTCAAAGATTCAGTGTAACAAAGCCAAATAAATCTGTTGTAAAAATATTTGTTCATAATCACCTATATGTCATGGAATCACTGTGTTTCTTGGTGTAGTATAATCCAAATGGTCCGGTTCTAGGAAATTATGTTTATATTTTGACCCAGATAATCTAACAGGTATTTTTTGTAATATGGTCTAGGATTTTCAGAAATAAGTCTTCGTGCTAGTTTAATGGTCAGTTTTTTCTGGAATGCAAAATGCCTTGGTACTCAGCCTTCCAAAATATAAATTAATGCTGTAATGGATCACTAGCTATAACAAAGTTCTTCTGTGTGATTTGGGACTGGTTTTAACTTTCTCTCACTGATTTTTTTGAAATCCTTGTTTTAGCTCTCCAGTTAAGACAGTATTTCAAAAGATGTGAAAACCACTGAGGACTACAGTGTTCAGCTCTCCTTCCTAATTATATGGATAAACCAATATTTCTCCTGGGACGGGGGAGGACTCTGTGTCTCCTGCATTTTTAGCAATCTGGGGAAAGTCTGACCTTGGCTAGGGGACAGTAGCTGTGCTTCTGATACAGTAAATGAGGTCAATTTCCATTTGGCTCTGTGTTAAATTATCCTGTTTGATGCTGATTGGGAAACCTCAGAAATGGGAATGAGGTAAATCCACTATCAAGACAATCTGTGCAGGCTCAGACTTCTTGGTGGCCTCCGCTGCAATCAAACTGGGAGGATTCAGTGGCTTTAGCCTTGGCTCTTAGATGTGCCATTTGTAACTGGGTGTTCCGCTGTTGTGGTTCCCTCCTGGTTTAGCAGGAAAGCTGAAAAAGGCAGTGGGCTGGCTGGGATGATCCTTCTGGCCTGTCACAGTTGGCTATTTTAAAAGGCTCCAGCAGGCTTACAGGCATGTGGCTGGGAGTTCCTAGCCTGCACTTAAGGATACCACTAAAAGAAATGGACTTCTTGGTTCCACACTTGTTTTAGCTTCCCTGGCACATACCACCTGACATGTCATCAGTCCAGCCCTCGAGTAGCGTGGTCAGTGGATGGTGCCCTAGCAGACTCTTTTGCCCTCTTAAAAACTAGTGCAGCTCTGCCGGAAGGCTTGATTGCTGGGGAAGCAAAAGTGCCTCCGACACTGTGTAAACTGTGCTGTGCTATAAGTTAAGTTCTATAAATACATAGGTTGACTTCCAGGAAGCTGCAGACCAGTTTGGTGATGACATCAGCTGGGGCTGGGGCTTGCCTTGCCAAGACACAGAGATGTGACGCTTGTAAAAGTTTATGTGGGAAGAACAATGATATTGCAACATGTGGGATGCACAAAATCCTCCTCACAGAGAGATGAGGGTACAAATGAAGTGATTTCTCTGAGGGTGGAAAAATATTTTGTACACACTGGAACAGATGAATATTTTGTCTGCACTGGAACAGCTTCTCTACCCCATCTTCTAGAATGCAAGATGCTTAGGCGGGAACATTGTCAGGATGGTCGCACTCAAAGAGTTGTGGTCAACAGCTCAGTGTCCAAACAAAGACCGGTGACGAGTGGTGTCCCTCAGGGGT